AAGAACAATCCTTGAAAAATGTAGTTTTTTTAAAACTGGGAATACGATTTCCAGAAGGGTAAAAGAAAATTTTTGAAATTTCACCGAACCATTTAGCATGGTTCGGCAATCCATATGATGGATTTCCCCTTTCTTCAAACCGGTCCATTGACACCCTTAATTGAGGGTATGGGAAGAGAACTAACTTCCTTATAGGGGAATGGAACCAAAGCAAGAGGAGACAAGGTTAGGAATTTGAAGAAAGAAACACAAGGAAAAATCCTAAAAGAACTTGGAGACCAAATACGGATGTCATCATTATTAGGTACAAAAAGCACCCCATCAAGAATTTGCAAGAGGTTAGATAAAAGAGCCAACTCAGAATCCCTCAAATTCCTTCTTCCAAGTTCCAAATAGGATCAAGGAGAGCAGCATTAGGATTAGAGGTAGAAAAAAAAATCAGAAATTGGTCTCCTCTTCAGACTTGAAAATGCAAAAATAGAGAAAACCTATCTTTTAGAAGTGCATCCCTAATCAACAGGTTTCCCCCAAATTTAATCTTACTGCCAAAGAAAAGAACATCTTGATATGATTTAAAAAACAAGGGACACCGCAAATAGTTTTCTAAGGAGAGGCAAGTGAAGTTCTGTTAGATACTCTTGCACCCCCAATCATTTTCAATGAGCCCATGAATACAAACTACCACCTCATGCCAAAGCCCATCTATTTCCCTTGGTAATTTCCAAAGTAGTTTCCCATAAAGAGCCAAGTTCTTTTCCTTGAAGTTCCCTATACCCTAAGTCCTTCCTTTTAAATGATTAAGTTAACTTTCTTCCCTTTCCATAGTTCCCAAAGAACCCTCATCAGTTTCTCCACCCTCCAAAGCCCAAACTACACTTTGGGACATCCTAAACACTGAAAGGTAGTAACCGCTGAAAAGTATCTCCATTTCAACACAAACAACCTCTTCTCAAATTTTCCACCACTGGGTTCCAAAAAGAGGGGGCTCTAGAGTTAGCACCTAGAGGTAAACCTAAGTGTGTAATAGGCCAATCCCCACTCGGGAGGAGACACCAGCTTCAAACTCTTACAACCCTCTAGAGCGAAGAAACAGAGAAGCATTGTGTTGCTTAAACTTTTTCATAACAGAGACCCAAGACACCACCCTATCAACAGCCAAATAGATGAACTCATCTAAAATCTTCTTGTTACATAAATCGACTATTCCTCTCAGCCCAAATAGTCCTTAAAACAACTGTAGGAATAGACCGCCAAACACAAATTCCTTTTTTTTTTTTGCTCAAGCCTGGCAGATTACAACACCACAGAATCTCTTTAACTGAACATCGCATGACCCAGTAAATCCTAACAGGTTTGAATAAATACCCCCAGATTTGACAAGAGACATTACAATGAACCTACAGGAACCATTTCCAGATTGTGCCCACACAAGCCACAGTTCAAGCATGAAGTTGCATGCCCCTCATAGACAGATTTTCCTTGGTCAGACACCCCTCATAGACAGATTTTCCTTGGTCAGACATCTGTCTAGCACCAAAACCCATAATAAGAAGTTTAATTTTGAAGGACTGACAGGGTTCCATATTTCTTAAACCTTGATGATCCTCCCCATCACAAAACATTATGACATCATCTACAAACTGCGAGTCACAATGATATTCTTCTTCTAAGGATTCTTTACCTTTTGTTTTTTTGCCTACACCAAACTTGTTGACATTTCTCCATCCAAGTATTGCACATCTCTCATGGTGTACCTACACATTCAAGAACCTTTCCATTCTATATCCATCCCATTAACACCTTGGAGTCACCACACAAGATATATTAATTGAGAAAGACTGCTATTCCTAATCCTTGTTGCACCATAAAGTCCTTGTGGTATTAACCTAAGATTCTCTTTCCATTACAATACTAGTAATTAATAACTAAATCCAAATTAACTGTTGTGCATCAAGTTTTTATAATCAAACTAAGAAATTAGAGGAGCAGAGTAATTATGCTAACTGTAACTAAACCGAGACAAAAAAGGAGAAGAGTCAAGTGTGATTAAACTAAGCCAGAAAGAAGCAGCGTTAACCTTTCTCAGTTTTAGCCCTCCATTACATCTTTGATTTCTTTACCATTGAAATCATTATGTGTAAGAGTTTTGCAATTGCTTCTTTTGGGTAAACAATAAGAATATTTATTGGATCTTTAAGCACAACACTTCATAAACACACACAACAACTACCTAGAGTTTCTAAAAGGGTGAGATTTAAGGAGTCTTAGGCTCTTAGTGACTTGCTTAACAAGCATCAAATAAGTTGAAGATGGACTGCAAGGGTAATAAAAAACAACTAAAATAACATCAAAATGTGATAAAATAACCCATAATTGTGTCTTTTTGAGAAATTACAATGACAAAATGATTTTTAACAACATGGGAGGGCAAATAGAAAGGGTATCCTCTAAAAATTATACTGGCATAATACTAGTACTCGATTTGAGAGGCTACACTTAAAAGGATGACCCCTAACACATGAATTCAGCCTCGTAAGTCTGCTTCTTGCTAATTCATCAGCTGTTAGAGTTAGCAGACATAGATGTCAACTGGAATAAGATGTTAATTCTAGAAGACAAAACACGCACCTCTCAGATGGCATGAAAGGAAGTAGGAATCACCATGGACTGCCTCTAATTTTTAAACCAATGTTTTAAAACGTGGAGGCRTGACGTGAGGCGTTCCACTACCTAGAGGCGTAAGAAGTAGTTCAAAACGCAAGAGGTGTAAGCCTCCCAAACACAAGGAGGCGTAAGCCTCCTTCAGAGGAGGGAGTTAGGAGGAAGGATGAAGAGGAAGGGGGGATCTCATTTTTTCTTTATTTTTAATAAAAACATTTTATATTAAGAAGAATAAAGATGCATAACATTAGTTGAAAGGGGGGGGAGTCTAGGGGGCAGAGCCCCCCATCAGAAGGGACAGGAGGCAAACCACTTCTTTCCCCTTATCTTTTCTTCCCTTCCCTTTCCTTATCTCTTTTTTTTCTTCTCTTTCTTTTTTCTTTCCCTTCCCTTTCCTTTTCTCTTTTTTGTCTTCTCTTTCTTTTTTCTTTCCCTTCCCTTTCTTTTCCTTTCTTTTCCTTTCCTTTCCTTTCCTTTTTTTCTTTTTTCTTTTTTTTTTTCTTTTTATATCAGATGTGCAAGAGGCACATGAGGCGTACGCCTCTAGCACACCTCTTGCACCTGAGGCATACGCCTCAAAGGTGTCAGCGCCTCTGGCATACGCCTACGGGTGTTTGGGGAGCGCCACGCGCACCTCTAGGCGTATGCCTCCCACGCCTAAACATGGCTCAGTAAAGCCCATGAAGACTGATATGAAATCTTGAAATGGGAATATAATCTCCACCTTCAAAAACACACCCCAACGGAACCTGAAAAACTCATGAGCATCTTCTGTTGCTGTTTCTAATAAATCCATCTTATTTGATGATAACTGAGAATGATAAGAGACTGAAAGTCTCTACGAAACGAAAACTATACAAATGAATTTCTAGCAGCAAGTAATCAAATTAATAGAGATTCTCATAACTAAAATCCACCATGAAAATTCAATGTGAAACTTCAATGATAATCAATTCAATGACTTTATACATGGAATAAGGACAACCCTACAACATAACATGTGCAAACAGCATCCTTGAGTAAGTTTACAGTCATTCATCTAATCCACAACAGTGCTATTAAGATGAACACAGAAAAAAACATATTGTACGGGGACCTACCAAGTTATTAGCAAAGAATTAAATAAAAACAAAGCCCACTCAATAATTCAAGCAGAGGACTATACACCAATTGAACAAAAATAGAGCACAACAGAAACACTAAAGCAAATGAGAAACAATCAGGTCTTTGGAAAACAAAAACAATTTTACTAAGTTCCATATTTGATGGTAACTGAGCACAACCATTGAACAAAAGAAAACCTAACAATACAAATATATCAAAACCAAGTTTTAAATGTCAGTGTTGGTGAAAATATCAGTTATCAAAATATAGGAAATATGTCACAAATGTCATATGGAAAAATTGTAAAAGTTATAGACATGATGGAAACATTGTGAAATTTGCAGAAATATAGAATGATATTTTATGAAATAATAAAAGAAGCATCCATTTAAAAGTATATGCTACATAGTTGTCTTGTAAACTTTAAGAAGGGGAGCAAGTCAGGCAAGTTGTGCCGGGTTTAAGGTGAAACTAGGCCCAAACCTAAGAATTGAACTAAATCTTGAGCCCCAGACCAAGCCGAAGGTCAAACCCAACCTATCCAAACCAGGCCCTGCCCAAAATGAACATTGGCACACTTGGGTTGGGTCCAAGCCCAGGCCAAGCTCAGGTTAGTCAATCACATATGTATAATCAATACATTCCCCAAGGGCTAGGACCGGGCCCAGCCCAAAAAATAGGGAAGCTCTGAGTTTTGGCCCCAAGCCCAGCCCAAGGACCCAAAATCCAAGCCCAAGTTGTGTAAAATTGTGGGCGGGGTTGGTCCAAGGTTAGCTTAGGCCTGTCCAAGTTGCACCCCTAACTTTAAGAGTCAAAACTACATGATAGAGTGAGCAAGAAAGTTTCAAACTCATGGAAAGAATTATTGCGGGCAGAATTTGATTAATAACCATCTTTACAGACAGTAGCATTCATTTTTGTTGAGGCACTTACTTTTATTTTTTAGTACTAGGATCAATTAAGAGATATGTAATTACAATTTAACTCAGTATCCAAAGCTGGTCTACCTACAGTTTTGAGATATTATTCCTTGTCCTGCACCACAATGCCATGTTTTCCATTTATCTCACTCAAACATACTACCCAGCAAACTTCATTCATATCATACAAGGGAAATTCATAACTACTTCCAGTTATTAACTTGTTCCATCATCATCCAAATATCAGCAACAAAATAAAAAACTGGGTTAAATTAAAAAACAAAAAATAAATGTCCCTAGGTTTGCTCTGCTCACCACAAAGAGACTGCAATCGGTTTTAAGTGAAAAGAACTCCAAAGAAGTTTCTCCACCACTCTCAAAGGGCCTGATATTCTCATTTTTACGGGTGAACCTAACCGCACTGTCCCTCTTCAGATGATAAATTTCAGTCAAAACAGAATTTAATATATTGCTGGTCTTGGTTCCTTGTAGTATCAGTGTTTTCTTCCCATTCTCAACCTGCATGACAGAATTCATATAGAAAATCAGTTCAAGTGTCCATATGATAAATAATGGAAAGTTCCTGATTGAGAAAAACTGAAAAATAAAGTAATCCATAGGAGCTTACAAGCTTGGGAGCACGCTTTTCAAGCACTCGTTTGGATTTTGCTGTTTTTGGAGTTGAAATCTTCAACATTATTAACTGGCACAAGAAGAAATCACATCATATCATATCATGCCATCATATATCTTATACATATATAGTTATATACTTAATGCATGAGGTGTATGAGGCATACACCTCTAGCATGCCTCATATAAAGGCGTATGAGGCATACACCTCTTGCACATGAGGCTTACGCCTCAGAGGTATCAACACCTCAGGACATTTTGGGGGCACCTCTCCTGGAGGCATACACCTCCCATGCCTTTCAAAACACTGGCCATGATTGTTTTGACCAAGAACACAACAAATATCATTCTCAAACCCTGAAGATACTCCTTTTCCTAAACCATGAGATCACAAAGATAAAAGGAAAGTATAGATATAGATAAGCCAAAGAGCATTGTGGTAGACATCTTTTAATTGCCATTAAGTGCAGTAATTTCTAATACAATTTAGAAAACGCATTCTTTAATCACAACAGTTGATAACAACATCTGGATTCGCATTTCCAGAATGTCAGTGTCAAATGGGTAATGCAGAGATGAGTTAAGTATCTTACAGGGACAATTTTTTTATTTTAATTGCAATCTTACAGGCAGATATCCTGTAATTAGTGGACAAATCTGCAGAGATTAACTCCCATCCTCAAAAGTTATGCTACAAAAATTAACACACAAAATCCATCCAAAAACTTAATACACAAAACAACTAACAACTGCTTAGAGATTGCCCACCCAACAACACATGCATTGACCCATCGCAGCAGGCAGGCAGTGGCTGCTTAAGTTTCAGTGACTTTGTTAAATTTTCCTTTTAATAGCCCAACATAGATGGCATTTGATCCTACTATACATGCACCAAATAGAATACCATCAACCTTAGAGTTGACAAACTTACAAAAAGAAATCACAGCTGTAGTGATAGCACCACCGTAAATAGTAAGTAGAAGCCAAAAGGGGACAGGAAGAATGACATAGTGAGGAAATTTATAGAATCAGAACATGAGAAGCTAAAGAGACAGTGCAAAGAATGTGCAATTCACCACTAAGAAAAACAAAACGAATAAAGAAGCAGAGAACAAATAAAACAGGAGCTCTCGGAGGTCAATGTAACGGAAGAAACAGTAATTTATTAACAAGACAGAATCCAAGAAAGAGAGGAAGGACATAAGGAACTAGAGATTACCATCAGCATGAGAAAGGAAGTTGATATGGACAGAAGGAAGGGGTGTAACGGAGAAGAGTATCTGCAAAGATTCTTTTTTTTTTTTTTTTGAACCAGGGGAGAGGCAAAAGCAACTGGGGAGACCAAAGAAGGCCTCATTAGCTCCAACACCAATATTGACACAGCAGGGTCAATATCTTCCACTAAAAGGATTATTTGGCAGAAAGCAAGGCCAAGGATTCATCACTGCTGCAATTTTTGTTTCTCTTGTCCCTCTAACAAAGCTTTCCTTGAATGTTGAAACCTTAACTTTGTTACATAATTGAATAAGCACAAGATTTCAGTTTGTTGAAGCAGAACAAGAGGAAAAACTCTTAGGGCTCCGTTTGGTAAGAGTGCAAATGCCAGTTCAGTGCATATATGCATGTTTCGAATGCTGCTACAGTAACCCGAACCAGGAAGAGAAGGAAGAAGAAGAGGAAGAAAAAGAGAAGAAGAAGAAAGAAAATAAGGGTCTGTCGAAATCTGATGGACCACCCATACAGTCGACCCCCTTAATCTTTATTAGATTCTAATGACCTTTACAAAGACTAACTACCCTTACTTAAGTGTGGGGTAGAGTGTCTCTAATAAAACTGCCACATAAGCAAACTACTTAACAAACATAAGATGACTAAACTACCCCTATTCGGCTCACTTAAACACTCCCCCTCAAGCTAGAGAATATATGTCATATAATCTCAGCTTGTTACATAGATAATTCACTTTCCCTGAGCTTAGAGCTTTTGTAAACAAATCTGCCCACTGATCATTCGAGCCCACATGTTCTGTATTTATCTCTCCAGCAAGAACCTTCTCCCTCACAAAGTGGCAATCAACCTCTATGTGCTT